TCGATTTGCCAGTGGAGCTTAGGCTTCGAGATGGCGTAGGGACTGTTGCCATACTTGCCCAGTAATCTGGGGAAGGAAAGGTTTAGGGCTAGGGTTTAGGGTTTAAGGTTTAGGGCATTAGGGTTCAGGGTTTAGGGTTTAGTTAGCGCTTAGGGTTTAGGGTTGATGGTTGAGGGTTCGGGGTTGGTTAACCTTCGGGATCATACGTAGGGGTTGTAGTACCCCGAAAAAGTTAAAGCACCTGGGGCAGTGAGCGTGGTCCCCAGCGACCCTGAAGCTTACCTACCCCAAAAGGCCAGTAACTGATGTAGTGGGTCGGTCCCTTCAGCGGAGTTTGAGGTTTAGAGACTTCATGAAGCAACAGACATCTAGAATCTAGAAATGACCTTCGTTCGCACCCGGCACCATAACAGCAACAGTTCTAACCCCATGTCGTAACCCAGCGATCACATGTCATAAAGAAGAACAGCAAAAAGCAACAAGGAAACTTGTGTGCACACACTCTTGATGGTCGTATCCGGGAAATCGCAGAAAGTGTCAGGCACGTGCTTGTGTACAAGTTGTTCTCGGTTCGCAGCGTCCTAGCGATACGTTCAATCTAAGCCTGCACCTGAACCCTAAACCCTTGTCCCTGAATCTGAACCCTAAACCCTAAATCCTAAACCCTGAACCCTAAACCCTAAACCCTGAACCCTAAACCCGGAACCCTAAAAGACTAAACCCTGAACCCTAAACCCTAAACCCTGAACCCCGGATGCACCTGCACCTCGCAAGATCTTGAGTACGCAGCCTAGTGAAACCACGCTCTAAGCCCGAAAGTCCAAACTCATCCCCCAAGCTGGAATCCTTAACTTTATACTTTGAGGGTTTAGGGTTTAGGGTTAATCTTATACTTTTGCCCAAAGCCCAAACACCTAAACCTTAAAGCCAAAACCCTATGCCTTAAATCTAGCCCTCAACAACCCTCACCTTGAGCCTAAACTCTGCACCCCAAGCTGCGAGCCTCACGAAATCTCCTAACCAAACTCCAAGCCCGAGTAAGACTAAACCCCATACACACCCTCTCCACACCTGATGTACGTAGGAATTTAATGAATGAACGTACGTATGTCTGTATGTGTATGTATATATATATACATATATATATATATATGCCCCTGCTTATGCCGTCCGCAGCACACGATGAGGTGCTCGACGATGGACTCAGCACGATACGGCAGGACCACCGCAGCACCGCCGCCTGGCAGAGAGCTGCGAGTTTAGAGGTGAGAGGTTTAGGGATTAATCAATCCTGAAGGTCGGAGGTTGAATAGGGTTAAGGGTTGAGGGTTTGGGGGGTTTAGGGTTTAAAAGTACCATATAGATCCTCTTCCCCAGAAGAGTCCCCTAGATCCTCGACCCCAACCCAAACCGTTTGGGGCTAAGGACTGGTTCGAGAGTTTGAAGGTTTAGGGCCTACCTAGACCCCAAAGAGAACCTACCTTTTTAAGGACTTATATAACGAAATCATCATAAGGAACCCTACAACGGGAGCTTCTTACCCTCAAACCTATAAAGGTTTAGGGTTTCGGGTAGAAACTGCAAACGTTCGTACACCCTAAAACACCCTAACCGCAAAGCCTCAAGCAATATTGTAGAAGAAGAACCCCCAGAAGAAAACACCAACAAGCCCCTAAAAAATTATGAAGTTTCGAGAACCCCGCCCGCCCACACCCCCTAAACCCTAAACCCAGAAAGCACCAAACTTTAGCCAAAGCTACTCACGGCTGGCAGCGCCATCCAAAAATTCCTCTCGAAGTCGGCACCTGTTGTGGTTTAGGAGAAAAACCTTGTCGGGTTTAGGGTTTAGGGTTTAGGGGTTTATACGGCTTTTGAGGGGCTAACCAGAGGTTGCAGAGGTTTGTTGAAATTCCAGTCTTGTGGGGCAGCTTGAGGTTTGCGTTTAGGGTTGAGGCATACTGGTTTAGCAGTTTAGAGATTAGTGCGAAGCCCTAAACCCTGAACGGGTACCCAACTAGACTCTGTAAACCCTAGATCTTTCGGATGTAGCTCCAGAGACCTTGCAGTCAGCGTCTAGATTTCATCCGACACCAAGACACAGAATGTTTAGTGCCTTTTAGGGATTTGGGAGGTGGAAGGAGGGACCTGGAGGTCTGTGAATTGAGATTGAACCCCCGAGGAGCCCAGAGAGCCCAATACCCCTTACATAAGGAATATACACCTTAACATATTAAGGCCCCTATAAACTTAAGGTCCATTATAGGGGCCTCAATATTATGATTTAAGGATATATTCCTTATTTAAGGGGTATTGGACTTTCTGGGTCCTCAAATTTCCAAGTCCACGCCTTCTGTGATCAACAGCGCGAGGCTCACCTTGGCACACCCCAGAACGCAATCAAGCCGCTACGATCCACGGCCTCTTTCGTGCCGGCATGCAGTCCGAAAAGGATTGTTGGAGGAAGGTGACCAAACACGAAACCAAGAAGACCATCGTCCATCCAGAATCTCAAGAGCAAACCTCGCACCCCGATTTGTCCCGAAGCGCTGCATGTTATAAGGTGTTTGAGGCCTACCTACACTGTCCATTTTCCTGCCTGTCGGCTGTGATGATGTCTACATTCCACCAAAGTAATGACAATACGGACTATACTGGGGTCCCCAGTACACGGGGAATAAAAAGGCTCCCTTGTTGGTTTTGAATAACTTTGGAAGGAGCCTTTTAGGTATACGCGCACACACATTAAAAATATAAATATAAATTTTTTAAAAAAAATATATATATATATATGTATATATATATACACACACATGCATATGCGTACACATCCTTTATAGGTTGGCACGCGGTTAGGACGTGAAAAAACCGAAAGCCTAAAGCCAAGCCACCAAGCACATAGCCACGACGAGTACCAGGGGAACCACCAGAAGGTCTAAGCAAGCAAAGACGGCCAGAGCGATGATCGGCCTGGTAAGCCCTAAACCCTAAACCCCATGCCTTTCATTCGTTCCTGGTTTAGGGGTTTAGGGTTTAGGCGTTCTGGCTTTAGCCGCAAAGTCTCGGGTTAAGGCCTGGTGTGACGGGAGCCTTTTAAAGGCCGTTGGCCACGGATCTTGGTCCTCGTCATCCCTCCCAGCTTGACTAGGTTCTTGTTGGTTCTTGTTAAGGGATTTAATACTTAAGTTACCATAATAGGGATCTATAGTAAAAAAAAGGTTTTCGTAATGTACTGGTAGTAACTTAAATTAAACCCCTTAAAAAGACCCCAGGTGAAGGTTTATCTTCGTCGTCATCAGCTACGTAGGACCAGCTAGGTGGCGGCTGGTTTGGCGACCGCACTGACAATGCGATAAGATGACAACGATGGCGACGGTAGTCATGTCAATGGTCATAATGGTGGTCTTAGTACTGATGATGCTGGTGACGACAACGACGATGGTAGCGATGATGATGAGGATGCCGATGATGATGGTGGTGATTATGCTGCTGCTGATGATGATGAAGAAGAAGATGATGATGATGGTGATGATGGTGACGGTCATGAGGGTGATCAGGGTGATGATGCTGATGATGATGGTGATGATGATGATGATGATGATGATGATGATGATGATGCTGACGCTGCTGATGATGTTGATGACGTGGTCTTAACCATCCACAAGGCGAGCATTGGTCGTGCTTTCGTTGGCACTATGTTTGCTGATATTCCACATGGGTGTCATCAGTCACAGTATGCGGCGTCCTACCATTTGTAGGACATGTTTAGAGCTGAGCCATTGTGATGTTTAATCCTTGCTCCCGATATCTTCACATGTTGAGCATCAAAACCAAACCCTATATAGACCCTAAACCCTAAACCAGGCCTCCCGTCTGTGCTCAAGTCCAATGTGCAAACCTTCTGGAAGAGCCTGGGCGAAGCGATGAACGAACTTGGCTTCGCGGTTTAGGGTCGCTTATTGCTTTAATCCTAAACCCTGAATCCTAAACCGGTTTAGGGTTTAGAGTTTAGGGACTAGGAGCAAAGCAAGGACATATGGAAAAAATCCAGCTTGTCGTCTTCGGCTCAAGCTCATGACTGTGGGCCTAAACAGCCAGAGCAAGGTTTTGAGGGTTATTTCTTGTCGTGTATATATATATACACATATATACACACACATGCATGCATACAAGATACATACACACATGCATACATACATACATACATACATACATACAGACATATAGACATGAATACACAAATACATACATACATGCATGCATACATACATACATACATACATGCATGCATGCACGTGTGCAGCATGCACCCAACTAAGCACCCATGCATGCATGCACAGATAGATACGGAACACATACGATATACATACACACAAGCATACAGTATGCTGCATGCATACATGCATACATAAGTCAGTAAACACCGGACCAAGCGATACACACATGACTAGGCATGTCTGCATATACACGTGTATGTGGCGTATGTATATATTTACACACAAACCCACATATACATTTTCACACACATAATTCTTGTATGTACATATATATAATATACATACATACATACATACATACATACATACATGCATGCATACATACATACATACACATCCACATGTTGAGATTGCAACAGAGTAATAAACCTATTCTACATACACCATGACCACCACCACCGCCGCCGCCGCCGCCGCCACGGCTTGGACACAGTTCCGCGGCTGATAGTGTCGTCGAAAGCTCGTGGACTGCTGGGGTTTTCTGATGATCATACTAACGTTTGGTCGCGTTTTGAAGAGGCGCTGGGCCATTACAAGACAGTGCACGGCTTGTTTCGTAATGGTCATGCACCGCACGGGAGATACTGTCGGCAGTTGAAGCAAAGTAGCTTGCGAAGGCATTGCTGAAGAGACCAGATCTTCTCTACTTGGAGACAGAGAATGAGGTGAGAAGTGATTGAATGCTGTGCTTTGTAACGACTTTGCGGGGTGCTCCGGCCATGTTCGATGTTCTTTGCAAGCTGGTCTACTGGTTATGAAGACGTCCAGAAACAGGATAAAGATCTGATGCCTCTCGACAGGCAAGTGAACAGAGACACACTTCGCACTCGCATGCATGTCTGAGCTCAACATTAGAAAGCAATCTCTTCATGCTTCCTTCCCAAGCCAACAGACGTCGACAATCTCTAAACAAACCCCGAGCTTGACGGTTGCCAAATCCTGCTTGGACCCGAAAAGGCCAATGCTGAAGGGATCTACAGTAGAGTTTAGCATCGCCAAAGCATGAGCTCCGAACGGTGAACCACAGGATCGGATCGCCGCTGTTCATGTCCGTCGCGGTGCCCGAGGTACAGACCGTGTCATATTGAATCTGGGGGGCAATCAGCGGCTGCACATGCTAAGCATCACGGTAAGCCGTTGCTTCTCCGAATTCCGCTTCTACCACGTTACGTGACAACCACCTTTACGACGACGGCAAGCAAGACAACCACAGAATCAGCACCAGCACCAGAAAACCATCACCAGCACCAGCTCCAGTGCAATGCAGCAGAGGACGTCGCCCCCGGGCATCTACAGGCTTTCCGACAGGCAGTCTGCAGGCTACACCGGCGCTTGGGAAGGTTCCCTTCGGTCGATCACAGTTATGACGGGCAGCAACCGGCAACCAGCAGCCAGCAACAACAGCGGCAGCAACGACGACCACGACGACGACGACGACGACGAGTACCGCTGCCACTGCCACAAGGTACTATACCAAAAGTTACAGTGAGAAGAGTGATTTGGAAGGCGAGAATAATGCTAGTACCAATAGCCACATAAATCACGGGTGTCTTCCGGCTGACACTACAGCCTTTCTCGCTGCCTGCAATGACCGTCTTCAGCTAGCTTTTGGCACAGTTCGGATCAAATAGACTGCACGCCCATCCGGGAAGAAGATGGCCGGGTCTACCTATGTCCCAAGCCTGCAGCTTTCGTTGCGCAATTGGTTTCAGTACTAGTCTCAGCACTTTTATGATGATGGAAGCAGAACGAGAACGACCCGATTCCCTACACAGTGCCACACACCTTTGTCGGTAGACTGCTCAGATCGCGGCAAGCACAAGGGTCACAGCTCCGAGGTATTCGCATGGAAATGCGGAGGAGCTTGATTGGTGCAGCACCTGAGCGTTGAGTCCCGAGCAAAAGCATCGTGGTGATGTCGCCGGGTTTGCTTCAAGATTTTAAAAGGCCCTGCAGTTTGCGCAGCACGTAGCTTGCAGACTTGCATGAGGCGTTTGGTGTCCGAGGCCTTAAACCAGGCCCTGTACCTTGTGGTCCAAATCCAAATGGATTTTGCATGAAGGTTTTGCTTTTGTTGGTGCGTGTCCGCTGCAGGATTTGGGGCAAAGACTCCACTACTTGGATATGATGTCGCAGTTGTGTGCCGTGGGCTGCAAGAGGAAGCGCCTGGTTTGGCGAGTATGATCTATTTGCAACCCGAAGAGTCAGATCCGGTCGATGCTACACTCCTTGGGCTGCATCCTGTTTTTGTCACACTCTGTTTTTGGCGGCACTGGGGTCTTGGGCTGATGATGATCTCGGGGGTCCCGAGGTGCCTCCGATGTCCTCGCCTACGACTACTGTGGCTACGGCTTCAGCGAGGGTGAGCCCTCGGAGGCTCCCTGTGCTTTTGTGAGATTCCTTGGCATCGTCCGTTGAAGTCACAGCGAATCAGCCGGGCCTTCATTCGGCCGCATCAGCTCGGCAAGAGGACTAATGTGGTTCATCATTGCATTGTTCCCCTTCTTACATGGGGCAGGAGAACTGCATTCAATGCATCGACGCAGCCTATGCTCGGCTCCCGGCATTGCAAGGGTCATGGGTGTCGGGAAAGCATGCCAGCTCCTTTGCTGAGCTATGCCAGGGGGCACCTGTTTAAGTGGGAAGCTTCTCTGATCCACTTGGTTCTCTTCTTGCATGCTGTGTTGAACAGTTCGCCGTTTCAACGCCCTTGCCGTGATAGCACTTGCGGACTAGCTGTGACTAGCTGCGAGGTGGCCCTTCGCTGCAAACTTCTTGCAGGCATACTTACTGCAGCACTTCGCGCCTAACCGCATCGTGCTCTTCGGGCGCTCGATCGGAACAGGCCGGGTCAGGGTGGAGCGTTTCGGTGCTGTTTGCTGACAATACATCGTTACAAGGTTTTGCACAACGCATGACCGTGCTTCCACACTGCAGTATGCTCGCAACGCTCAATCTCAACTTCTCCATGAAGCCGCTCGCTTCTCAGGGCCCACGGTGGACTTGGCAGTGCGCCATCCCGAAATCCGAGGCCAACTTCCTTTGCAGTTGTTGCCGTGGCCATTGCACTTCGGGCGCAGGGCGAGATGTATTTCGGGCTCAGGGGTGGAGCTCACTTCATCATGTTTATTGCTTTCTGCCTCTTCTGCGGACAGTCTGTCATCACACAGCAGACTGTTGCAGTTTGATGGAAGCAGTGGAACTTGCGAGACTTATGGGTGACAGTATTGTGATATTAATATTGCTTGGAGGCCAGCAAGCTTAGACGGTGGTACAGTTTCCATCTTCATGTCACTTTGGGCGCGCACTTCGCACCGGGATAGCCCTGTAAGTTTAGTTCACTGTCTAGCAAATGCGGTATCGTGAACAAGAGCGGGCACGTTCTCCTCTCGAAGAAAGCCAACATGCACACACGCACACAGAGGCACGCACAGGCAGTATCCGCTTTCAAGACACAAGACAGCTTCCAAATTTCATTGCCATGTAGTCATGCTCATGATGCCAATTCTGGCCGTGATGGTCAAGATGAGCCTGATGATGACCATGCTTCTATCATGGAACCGTTCTTTTGGCGTTCCGATTTGTCGTTGCCTGGCAGGAGTCATCCTTCAGAGTCCGATCGAGAGCTGTGGTCGGGCACCCTGCCAATTTCTTTATAGGTGCTCCCAGAGACTGTGTGACCGGATTCCGGTGCCCCATTCATGATCAAGGAGCGGTGTTCAAGGAACCCTGTTTTGACATTAAGGGCTCCTGACTCTCTGCATGGTTCCGGCAAGCTTTCGAGTTGACTGCTTGGGCTTTCACGAAACTGAAGCGGTACGAACCATGACAGATGTCTCAACCAATATCAGAGCTTTCATGCCAGCCTCAAGGCTTTGGACAACTCCTTCGAACAAATATAGCAATAGTATCCTCTTATAACACATTTGCTGTTGACAAGTTTTACTATCCCCCCCAAACCCTGTTCTGTATTTCAAAGTCCCCGTATTGCAATGGAAAACTTGAGGGTGTAGGGGTTTAGTTCTTGAGCTTCGGAACTGCGTCGAAAAGGAGGTCCTGAATGTTTCATGTTGTACAGTATGTTCTTTCCTAATCCCACCCTGATGTAGTTATATTTTGAACAAACCTGTTCTGCTTGTTTGGCCTGTGCCGAAAGTTGAGCTAGCACGCCAAAGCTGGGCACAGTTGGACAAGGTCGTGCCGTCTTCGGGAATCTGGCATCTTGGCTCGGCTACAGGCCGTGGGGGCTCCGGGAGCCGGGTCTTGAGTTGTAGGGCCCGGTTTAGGATTTAGGGTTTGGGGTTTAGGGTTTACGCTTAGGGTTTGTAGGGCCCCGGAAGAGGATCAAAACTAGGATGATGATTGCTGTTGGCTGTCGGGATTCTCATTAAAATTTCGACTATAACGGTGTGGGGGAGTGCGTCCTGAAGAGCATCAGCCTTGCCCCGACAACTTGTTTTGAAACTTGATTACATGAATCACATTGGTGCATGATTTGTGGTCTCGGTTTTCCAGAATTTGCTCCGTTCCCGATATTAGCATGTCACTGAATGGTTAATACAGGTACATGCCGACAGTATTTGTCGTCACTGTCAGCCCTTGTCATTGTCATGATTTGTATCATAGTGATGGCATTGCTATGGCAATGTTGGTGGCTTCGGTGGTTCATGTGAATGCTGTGGTTGTAGTTGTGGTTGGTGCAGTAGTGCTCGTCGTCATCGCCGACGCCATCGTAGTAGAAGCAGCAGCAGCAGCAGAGGTAGTAGTAGTGGTGGTGGTGGTGTAGTAGTAAGAGGCGGAGTAGAAGGAGTAGGAGGAGTAGGAGGAGCAGGAGGAGCAGGAGGAGGAGCAGTAGCAATCATCGTCGATGTCTTAGTCGTAGTGAGTAGTTGATGTAGCTGGCGACCCAATTACTCTGTAAACTGGCAGAACCTAATGACGACTTCATCGGAATTGGTTCATGTGCTGTAAACATCCGTGCACCTCCAACTCCAAGGCTTATTGTGAGGATGTACTATTTCTTGAATACTTGGAAAGAGTGTAAAACCGAAAGTTGAAACCATACAGTTGTTGAGTGCTGTTTCCCCCGCCGGCACAGGGACGTTCACTAGGCTTGTTAGACTCGTGAAACTTCTTAAGCATACGGGCCGGCAGTTTCTATTACATGAGTTTATGGCTGAAGCACGTAAATGGTTAAGTTCCAATGAGCTTGATTAGATTCGGCTTGTTGCGAACGAAACATAAGGCTCTCCAGGCTTTGTCTTCATTAAATTCATCACAACTGGTTCTTTCTTGTAGAAGGGAGTCTACTATTCTCTATGTAGTTATTTAGCTTTCTTTGCAGTTCACGAAAGCATGAAAAGCCTACATGAAGTTATTCAGACAGTGGCTGTTTGTTGTCGTTTTTGCTGCGGCTGTGGTGGATGCTTGTCGACCCGCATCTGACACCGTATGTTGTTCTCGTTGGGGTGGTCGCGGCCAATTTCGTCGTCGTGCCCATTGTCGTTGTCGCCGTAGCCGTCGCCGTCGCCGTCGCCGTCGTCGCCGTCCTCGTCCTCGTCTTTGTCAACTTTGTCAGTGCTGCCTGGGTTCATATGCTTACTGTCTCCAGCTTAACCGTGGGATTCACTGCCGCCCTAGTGACCATGAGTCGCGATGCCGACTAGACTAGGATGCTCCTCAAAAAGCAGGTCGGAAGCAATAATCATAGCAGCAAGGGAACAAGGCTGCAATGACGACGATGATAGCAATGTTAATGTCTACAGCAACAGGGCCGGTGAGGTTTTTCCTATGTGGGCTTTCCGTCTACGTGCTGCTGTCTTGATGGATTACATGATGCTGTCTAGCCCACACTCTGACATGCTGCAGAGAGCAGATCTCCCTGTTGTCAACCGTGACACGAATCGCAGACTTACAAGACCAGTTTGAGTGGAATGCGGTTCAGAAGTATTAGGCAGGATCAGCAAACTCCATGAGTATCAGCAAGAAATTTACGCAGGATCAAGAAACAAGCTTGCGTTCCACTGCTTCCTGTCGTAGCTATTATTTCTCTGAGTCATGCATGCTATGAGTTTTGCCAACGATTGCTACAATTACAAGTCTTGTTCTTCGTGCTACTATTCTTCCTATTGTTCTTACCGTTATGATTACTACTTGCAGTACTGCTTGAATTGCTACACTTATACTGTTATTGCTTCTATTTGTTTTAGCATTTCTGTGTTTCATTACTACCTCATAAGTACAAGTTGGTTATTGGTATGAACAACAAGATTCACGAAACATGCTAATAATATCAGTAATCATGGAAATACTAACAACATTAACAAAAGTGGTAACAATAGAAATAGCACTAGTAACAATATGGATGATAGTAGCAATATTAATGAGAATAGTTATCCTCATAATTATGATGATGATGATGAGCACTTTTAAGTGTATTGCTATTCTTGTTATTTTTAGTATTATCAATATAATTAGGAGTATTCATGAGTATGCCAGGGGAGATCCCCAAATAGTGACCTACCACACCAGAAGCATGCCATTGTGACCACGATGTCACGACTACTGTCACATGCGAACAGGCTTGAATTGCTTGGGAAAACACAAGTCCCAACTAGCCATCTGTGTATTTCCAGCATTTACGCCATGTTTCCACACACAAAGGACGACCACACTGACCATACCAGTAAGTTGCAGTGTCCGGTGCAGGATGGACCTGTTCCGGAATTACGAGAAAGTGGACAAGGCCGCAGGAATGTGAACTGTGTTCGAAGGTTCTGCACCCCGAAGCTTCGCGACGATGAACTTGTCAGGTGGAATGTCCAGTCCTAGTTATGCATGGAACGGACGATGACATCGTCCCGATTGAGAGTGGCATGGCCATCCAGGAGGCACGACTTAGGGTTACAGGTTGATTCAGGGTCCAGAGTTTTTGGACTGGGGTTTGGGGTACTCGCAGTTTGGACTCAGGGTTTGAGATCTCGGGGGCTTGTAGGAAGACTCTTTGTTGCTTGTTTTTGGAGTGCCCACCCCTACGGAGAAGCGCTCAGGTTGGTTGCAGGCACGCAGGATCAACCAAAAGACCTGGAAACGATGTTGATGATGATGATGATGATGATAATGAAGATGATGACCATGACCATCATCATGGCTTCCATCACTGTCATCATGAATATATCATCATCGCCTCTGTCATCGACGTCATGAAGAAACAAGAACGTGCGTCAAGCCTCGAGAGCTACCTGGAAGTACATCCCACTTTGGGATTTCGAGCCCTGCTCCTGTCTGGACACGTCCTGGGCATCGGCCGCCACAGCTTCGAAGAACGTGTGATGTTGTGCAGTTGTCTGGAAATGCCTGGGATATAGTTGTTCTTTTCAATCGATGCTGCTGCAATAGACTCAATTCTGACGCGAGCATGGCAGGATTTGTGCATCGAAGAAGCTGTGAATACCTCTGCTCATCGCAGCGTCGATGTGAAATAAGTTCCGAAACCACAATGAGTTGCTGCCGCTTCCCAGCCCGGATCTGGTTCGAGAAGGTGCGAGATGAAACAGCATGAGCTGAGGAGAACTGCGGTGCTTCACCTCACCAAACGCCCTGTGCTGTGGAGCAGATTGCTGCATCAAGGCAAACACCTGCAAGTTCGGCAAGCAAAGCGGAGGACCTGAAACCAACAAAACAGCTGAGCTGTCTCAATCCGAAAGTCCTAAAGGCATAAGGCTTTTGTTATCGGATGGAAACTCAATGTGTCATCTAGATCTGGATGCTGCACGGGCAGGCCTGCAGAAAAGCTGTCGAGCCGCTTTGGCTGGAGGGCTACGGTGGTGACCTTACCCACATTTGACTTCCAGGTTAGGAAGCGTGAGGGCCTGGGCTAGAGTTATTTGAGTATGTCGTTGGAAGTATGAGTGATTCTGTAGGTTCATTGGATGTTCAAGTCAAGTGCTCGTGTCCTGAACCAACCACAGACTGAACTTGGCCTCCCGATCTGCAAAGATTCGAGAGCTGTGTGACATCGGGAGCACCGATGGGGTATAGCACACGCTGATGAAGCAGCATCCTGTTTGAGGAGCTTTTGTTTTCACAGCCCTTAGGTCGCCGTCTAGATTGCAAGGGAAATGTTCATAGATTCTGGTCAATGCTTCATGTTGAAGACGATGTCAATCAGTCATTCTGGTTCATCGGGTGTAATGTTTTGTGATGAGAGTGTGTTGTCGCAGGAGCACCATGGAGCACCAACTTTACAAGCAGTCATCAATAGCTGCATGTACATGAAGTCGCGTCTCCTGCATTGTACTCATTCCAAAGTTGCACTTTGAAAGTGCTGTGCTAAGCCCATGGAGGGCTCTAGTCTACGCGAGTTGGCTTGTGGCTTTGAGTCGTGGGGTCTACAGCGTTCGGCCGCAGGCCACAACGACCTTCCAAATGAGATCTGCCTGAGGTGCGGGCTTTTTCTCATCCAGGAGCAGCAAAACTCTGCAGCCTCAAACCCGGGCCCCTTGAGCGTGGCTTCCTCACCCCAAACCTGCCACGGTCCTACAGACATTGCTTTCTCTGCGGTTCGAGAACGATGACCAGAAGATCCTGCTACCAGTAACATCTTCTAAACCTAGGCCCGGATTGACTCTATGGCATTCTATGGAATAGCCAAGTTGAGAAGCCTCGGTAGATAGCAACGGTGTTGCCTTTTAATCCAATACGATTGGAGGAAATATACCTCCTTACCCCATCCAAGTTGCGAGACACGGTAGCAGTAAGCTTTGAAATCGCAACATGGACAAGGTTCACCAGTTGCAGTTTTCTCACTGTTGTCTATGCTCACCCTATCTCACCATCTTCCAAGAATCGCAGAGGGCCTTCTACACTCCATACAAGTGCATGTAGTCTTCGTGTGCCAAGATTGCGTGACACATCGGACATCACGAGTCTGCATGCCAGGCGAGTGCGAGAATTCATGGACCAGATGGATGGCCTCTCGTGGGGCTGCACTCTCAAGCGGCTGAAAACCGGGCTTCTGTTCGTTGCTAAACGAGTCTTCGCTTCGTTCTCGGACCCGCGGCTGCCGGATGCTTTTTGGAAGTTCAGCACTTGAACCTGACTGTCCAAATCCAACTGCTGCCTTGAGGCCTTGACTTGACAGGACTTTCGGGCTACGGTGGTTTGGGAGTTTGGGAATCTCAGGATGCCAACACACGTGAGCAAATCGCATATCCCTCACGGATCAAGGGTGGTAGCTCCACGGGAACGAAAGTGCGGGGTAAAGTCCAGAAGGCTTCGCGTGTCACTGCCAGAGAGCTGAAACCTGCACTCGAAATTAGCCCGCACCGTCGAACTCCAATCCTGGGTGCATGCTGACTTCGGAGAACTGTTGATGCTCTGGCTTCAAGGATCTCCAGGTGTTGACCGGTTTTTGGTTAGGTATCGGTTTGAGGCTTTCGGTTTTAGGCCGAGGTTCAGGCATCCTTCTCAGGCGTGGGGCTTCGGGGTGCAAGTCCTCAAACGGGGGAGGGTGGAAACTCTAGGAACCCGAGGAAACCCCGAGCCCAACTGAATTCAAAGGCTGCGAGCAGTTGAGGGAAAAAGGGTTGGTGCTCAAGGTTTCATTAGGGCTGAAGCCTCCACTCTACAGCGACTCTTCAGGGGTTTTGCGGCTGAGGGCTAAAGCCCCTGGGGGCTTCGAGGTTGGAACATCTTCGTGACGAACCTTGCCACGCACATCTCCGTGAACCTTTGAGAAGCATCCGGTGTGCAATCACACGCCCGCCTGCGAAAGTGCAGCTACGACGTAGCACCATACCATGATGAAGTCGCGAAGTGACGCTGATGAGACAGGCATTGTTTCGCTGCAACATTGTAAGACACGCGTAAGCCTTAATCCCTGGACTTCATGGTCCCTTTGAAATATGCGCTTTAAACCTTGTGCCTTGGGGCATGTGCCTGACATGACAAGCACCCCACTCAAAATTCAGGCAATAAGGGCAATATGGCAATAATTTAATGCAATAAGGGTTAAGGTTTCGGGGGTATGGTTCAAGAGTTAAGGAAATAGCTTAGAGGTTGTGGTCTGCTGTATGATGCACACATATGCACACAAAATACGCGTGGTGTATTATGTAGATGTGCGATACATGGACATTCTCCAAGATAATGTCACGGGGCTCTTGGTGCCATCACCTGTTTCGTGAGCTGTGGCTAGCGCATGCTTACCTGCATGAAAAACTCACGCCAGTAAAGCCTCGCATCAATTCAGTCGCTTTCAGACGTGTCAACTCTCTGGGAAGCTCACAAGGACGCAGTTCTGGCTTGCAGAATGCTTAAGCAGCCGTAGCGCCTTTCAATGTCCACCGAGGATGCCCGAAATCTTGCACGGGCAGGTACTGGGGCGATTCCCCCATCCGTGGAACTTCTGAAGTTCGGTCGTTGCTTGCACCCAGGTGTCGGCAGACTCTTGGGATATGAGGCCCAAGAGTATGTGTGGCTGGACAGCCCGCCGTATGACCGGGAGCAGATGTGGAGCATGTTTCAGATGTGGGATCTGCAGCCACCGAGCCTTGTGATTAATCTCTTTGGAGGTTACTGCCATCCTCAGCACCTCCTCTTGCCGGCCGACATCGAGACCATGGAGCAATTGCCTGGTGTCGACAAGGTCGTGAAGGATGCCAGGCGAGTCATGCAGTTGCAGGCTCAAGAGCTCGACAAGTCCGAAGAGGCGATTGACATGGCTGAGCTGTAGCTGGGCATTTGATGAAGGATCGAAGAGGGATCAGGAATGACAGCCCCGTCACCCGTTTGGGTTTGTTTAGCGGAACCAAAAAGAGGAAACATGCCAAGTCACCACGTAGGATCGTGTGATGTCTTGGCGCCGGAAGAAGGCTCCAAACCTTCACGATTGCGAAGATTGTCCATCCATCATGCCACAGCAGGAATGGACGTCAGAACCCCCCTCGCTTCCAAGTGCTTAAGCAAAGGGAAAATCATCACTAGCACCTACCTAAGCCACATTGCCATGGACATCATCCACCAACCTCCTCACCCCCAACCCCGCTCTGAAGCAAAGCAACACTGCCGGCATGGACGTCCTCACCGCCGGCCCCCGCACTCCACTGCATGCATAATCGGCATTGCCGTGGACGTTTTCAGACATCCCCCTGCCCCATCCCCACTAAAGCAAAAACAAAAACGCTGGACAAAACTCGGGTTTTGCAGTCATGCAGGACATGCTCTGAAACCAACACACAGGCTACCTTCAAGTCCAAAAAGCACCTGAATTCCAAGCCAGAAAAAAGGGAACTGAACATGCACGAGATGCTGTACATGCAGATGCAAAAGGCGCTCGAACGCCAAAAATACAAGAGTTTTTGCAGTCACGCCGGAAACACTCTAAAACACCGATGCGAAAGCCACCTCGCCAAAGAATCCTCCAAACTGCAGTGTGCCAAGACTCGAGTGTTGACACATCGCAGGCCGACACACCCTTCGCGGCAGCAAATATGCCCGCTGCCAACAACAACATCAGCATCAGCATCAACATCAATATCACCATTAACAGCAGCAGAAGCAACAGCATCAGCATCAAAATCAGAATCAGCATCACTATCAACATCAACCGCAGCAAATGCAACAACAGCAGCGACAGAAACAGCAACAGCAGCAGCAGCAGCTGCAACTGCAACTGCGACAGCAGCAACAGCAACAACAGCAACACCAGCAACAACAACAACAAAACCAGCAACACCAGCGACGCCAGCAAAACCAGCAACACCAGCAACAGCAGCAACACCAATACTAACAGCACGAGCAACAGCAACAGCAACAGCAACGGCAACCGCAACAGCTACAGAAACACCACCACCAATACCAGCAGCAACAGCAACCACAACTCCAACCACAACCGTGTATGAGCGAAACAACATCATTGCAACAGCGACAGTAAGAGGTTTTTCAAGTGAGCGACATTCCTTACAAACAACCTCGCGGCTCTAGCATAGTCAGCAGTCACAGACATTGTGCACGTAGCGCTTGGGGCACTGCGAAATAGCTAGCAATATAATGAAGATACCTCAGAAACTGTTCTGATTTTTAAGGCCCCCTGTATTCGACAGTTTCCTGAATGCGCCCCTTCATGACGGCTGCCCTTTCAAGAATCTCCTAAGCAGCGAAGGCAAAGAACCATCGGAACGAGCTTGTTCGATCGGCTTGTCGAAGATATGGTCGCCCTGACGGAGGCATGCTCAAAAACGAACAGCTGGCTCCTGTTTGATCAGAGCAACATTGGCCAGTTGTATTACATTCTGGAGGCCGCCCTTGCGAGGACCAAGTTCAGGCCCGTAATTCTCATGTTTGTGGACTCGGCGCTCAAAGAAGGTTGCAAGTTCCGGGACGGCAAGCACGACTACCAAGAAGAAGCCTGGAGGAAGCTGGAAGAGAATGTGGATGTTGTGCACCAAGAAGAGACCTTGCAGAAGCTGCCAATCGTCGATTTGCCCCCAGACCTCTTCCCAGAATCTACGAACCTCTGGCCGGTTCCAGAAGACATGGCCGCCACAGAGGCGGCGAAACGGGACACTCTCTGGAGATCCCACTATGGGAGGTGGTTCTTCCGTGCAGCCACTCATTACATCTTCTGCAAAGGATCCGGGAATTTCGGGGATTCGGCCGTTTGCTTTGACCTGGACTGGCTTGGGCCACAGGGGAGCGTGTACAGCTCTGGAGCCATACGGAGCGGCTCCATGAGTGATATGATTTTTTCCTCTTTGGATGCAGGGAGGCCGGCCATTCTCTTTAAGCACACGGGTTTGGCCAGCGACCTCTGGAGCCACGTGCTCGCACTGCTGGAGATGTGATTCAGTGTTTGCACGAACGACTGGGGAGTCAGACCCTTCAGAATCTCAAGGAGAACAGCTGGGTAAATACCAAGCTTTTTGCTTCGATCACAACCCTTCTGCGGAAAGATTGGCATCGACTGTCCCAATCCTTTGTTGTCGTGGATGCCTTCCAAGACAAGCCCGACAAGGTCTTGGACAAAATCAGCGCTTGTTTTGCTGGCACATGCGGTGGTGCTACAAGGCTTGGTGAAGATGATCTGCGTGCAAGGAGCCTGGCAGAGGCTAGCGACTTACATCGGCAACTGCGATTCAATGCAAACCGCTTTGCATCGCGTTCGAATCTGATGGCAGTTGGTGGTGTGACTCTCTCCTTGCTTGCCACTATGATTGCCGCTTGGAGTGCCTGGCTAGACACGCAAATGGGGACTGATCAGGAATCGTTCCTGCAGTGGGTGGGGGATATGGCATTGATCCTGATGCCTGCTCTCAGTGGCCTTGCCTTTACGTTGCTTTCGCGACTTCGGTACATGTCAAAATGGGGAGCCGTATATCTGGCTGCCGCACAGGTTGAGTCAGAGATCATGAGATTCCGAGTTCAGGTCGAAGACTATGGCTCGATGCAGCTACCAGAGGAGCAGGAGCACACCGTCTTGCTTGCGTCCAAGGTGTCTTCTATTTACAGCTGCTTGCTTAAAGGCTTAAACTGTGGAAGTTTTCCCGTTGAGGCCCGTGGCCCAGACCCAACAACACTTGTTCTATAGGTTTGGTGTCCAGGTAGCCTCGCACCAGAATTTCATCACGACACGCTTCACGTACCTTCCACGAGCGGGAATGGCATTGATGCGATGTTTGGAAGCTGCACGCAGCTCGGCTTGGACTTACTCTCGGGCAGTTGATACTGCACCGTAAACCCTTTCTTCGGATTGGGGCGTGGTACCTAGTTGTGGAAGAAAATCAGGCACCTCTTGTTCTTGTCATTCGCTTTCGATCTCCCGTGTCTCACTTTGGCAAGGAGGTTGTACCCATAGGCCATTCGAGACCTAAGTCGTCTCCTCTTTCGTATTGCGATCTGGCGCAGGCTCGTGCCGAAGAGGCTTGAACACAGTTGCTTGTGAAAGTGTAGTGCACATGTACCAGCCTGTACGACACCAAATTGGCAGCGGCATCGCTGTCTCTCTTCTCTTAACCAGCACTCGACATCAGCAGATCTAATCTGAGACATCTTCATCTGAAGAATTATGAATGGAGTAGACGTTGGACCTCGATGGAAATCTCTGTTGCTTCACAAAGGATGGGGAGCGAATCCTGACGAGTCTAAGCCTTCACATTTAGTTACTAGTTTGAACGAGCCATCCAAGCCTGTCACTGCTTGTTCGCCTCAGTGCACTTGACATCTCGGAGGCTCGAAGAAGAGTCCCGCGGATCAGCGGAACGCAGCCCGCTTCTCGAAGAAGACGATGAACACCTCAGCTCTGCAGCAGTATTTCCTTCAAGCGGGAAGACCACGATATCCGTCGAGGAGTATTTCGAAGAAAGGGTCAAGACCAAGCTACAGTACTGGCAGGCCCTGGCACCCCGATTGTCTCATCGAGTGGCTTTGTATGAAGCGCTCATTGTCTTATCCTCGGTTTTGGGCACAGTCCTGGGCGCATTGGACCAGAAACTGTGGATTCCCTTTATGGTCGCCTTGGGTGCTGCCATGAACACCTTGATGCATCACGAAGGGCTGCAAGCCCGACTCTCTGCGCTCAATGCTTCCATCCAGGTTTCTAGTCCATGCTTGAGAAGCTCGTTCATGTTTCGTGAGTCGTCAAGCAGCAAGCTCCCGCGAGACAGGAAAGAGGTCGAAGGCCTAAAGTCCCTATTGGCAGGATTTGCTCCACATCCGTCACCGATGGTCAGCCCTGGGTGTCGTTGAGCGACGAACAAACTTCCACAAGGAATGGATGGTGAACCTCGCCGAGGCAGAGTCATGAAAACACCATCGCCATGTTTTCTATCGCGATTATTCATCCTGTGTATCGTTGCACGTATTGTCCTTATCATTTAGCAAATGTATCAGCTTTCATAACATCACCAACACCAGCACCACCACTACTAGGACTACTCCTACTACTCATACCACTACCACTACCACTACCACTACCACTACCACTACTACTACTACTACTACTACTACTACTACTGCTACTACTACTACTACCACCACCACGACGACTGCTACTACT